ATAAATTGTAGTTAAATTTTATACCAGGTAACCATGCAAAGAGGCTGTTATTCTATATAAAGATTAAAATGTGACGTTTCCTGAACTGTGTCGTCTTTTAAGTATTTGCTTTTGATAAGGACAGATAAAGATAGTTAAGATTTTAGGATGTAAAAATTCCATGGAAAGCAATTTTAACCTCTTTTCCTGTATGGTCAGTTCTTATTGGACAGCTTTCCACAAATTTCATTTCTGTATTGATGCAATCTTATATTCCAACTTACTACAAAGAAGTTTTATACATGAAACTGAAAGATGTTAGTTCATGACTATATCAGTTATTTGCTTTTCCCCATTCAAAAGTTTACTTTGATGCTTACTTTTAAAAGTGCACTTTTGACTGAAATTTGGTGTTTTTAGAATGATTTAACTTAAACATCTGTAAAAACTTAGTAATTCTATAAATACTGTTACTTGAAATAGGTTTCAAATAACTTCTCAGTTACAGAATGGATTTTATTCTTCACTGCCAAATATATTTTTATGCGGTGCTAAAGTTTTGTGGGGTATTGCGATGGATGCTCTACGAAGAAAAGGCATCTGCTCTCCAACAGCCACCTGTAAACTGTCGCAGTGGTTCTGTATGTTACAAAATAAATTTTTTACTTTTAAATTTTTGTTTGCAGCTATTATCTGATACTAAAGCTACAGATAGTTAAGTAACTAAAATTTGTACATTTTAGCAAATATTACATTGACAGTTGTATTTTTGTGTTTGGCTTTCTTTGTTGATTGTACTCGAAGTACTTTTGGAGTAGTACTAATGTGTGGTTTCGGAATTGGATATTCGGCGTCAGTTTCCGGGACATTCACCAGTCTCCTTAGCTTAGCGCCAAACTTTACTGGAACAATTTCTTCGCTTGCAATGCTCTTTGGAATAGTCGGGCGTCTTTTGGCTCCAGACCTTGTCGGACTTATTAGAGTTTACGTAAAAATTTTTTGGTTTTTCATTTATGTTAACTTAGGCAATTGAGCTTCAAAGAGCGTTTGTTACAGTTAGCTTGAAGAAAAAATAAAAAAAGCTTTTGAAATTGTTATACTAAATCTGATACACTTTAGTTCAGTATTCTTGCTTTTTTATTTCGCTAATTGTTCGTTTATTGAGCTGAATTACCCAAATACTGAGTGGTTTTCACAGGTTCTGGTCTTTGGTAAAACTGCGAACTTCAAAAGTATTATAGGGTACTATTAAAGAATGGAGGTTGATATATATAACTTTAGCAGTTGTCTCCATGATTTGTTGCATTCAATTTGGTATTTTCGGTTCAGGTAAGAGATGTAGATACGTAATGTCACAATTTCCAGAAAATCTCCAGAATTCTGAAACAACCAAAATTTTTTCAGCCGAAATTCAGCCGTGGGCCACACAGGCGTCCCCTAAGGGTGCTGAGCAAGAAAAGTTACTTGAAGAGAAACTAACGCCTGGAAAGTTTTCAAAAGAGGACGAAAATCTAAAGTCGGTGAGTGCCAAAATCGATAAAGACCAGAAATCGAAGCCTTAGAATAATAATCAGCTCTAACAACAGTTGATCTGGAAGGAATTCTTGTGGTAGCAAGAAATGTCCAATCTGTTACTGAAGCAGCTGTGTTTTAACGAGACTGATGTTCAACACTGATTTGAAGCTAAAATAACAGTGAAACTATGAAGATCTTTTATGTAAAACGTTTGTCAGATAAATTCATGAAATAAAGTGGAGGTTTTTTTCTTACTGCGATAACAAGAACTGAAAAACTGGTAAGTGTGTAAAATGCTAGTAGAATGTCAATGTTCTTTTATGGTTTACCAGTTTCGTGGTCAGTCATTCCATTCTTGACATGAAGATCAGTGCCGAGAAGAGTACGGAAGAATTAGTTGGAGAGTTTGTAAATGGTAGGAGAAATGAGGCGTACTAAAAAAGTGAACACTTTTTAAGTAACACTGTTTGTTTAAACCTCTGTGGTAAAACAGTGCCAAAATTCGGACCTCATTGAGGTCCCAAAGTGATTCTAAAGAAAAATCTTTTTGATATAAATAAAGAGAAGCGACTACAGAGAAAAATTTGACAAAGGTGAAAAAAAACCCGAGTTATAAGATCATAACAGCTGTACTTTATTGCGTAATTTTATTTTAATCATTTTCTATTCTCTATAATCTTGGTTTGACTATATTCTAGCTTCATAATCTGTAGTTGTCGCTCTTCATTTTGTTGAAATTTTATCCTCAGGATTACTCTTTCCATTTACGAGTTTCAGACTTACTATTTTAAAAGAAATAGAAAAAAAACAGTGCTCATAAAATTTACTAAAAAGTTAGATGCTTTATGCGCTTTCTCGCTGTCCAAACCTCTCCTTTCCAGCAATCATCTCACCATTATTCACCCTATAAATTTGTTTCAACCATTTTTTCTCATCAGCAGCAAACCAAGGACTATTAAAGAAAAACTAAAATTGGAACCTGACACCGGACTTTAGAACATCGTAATTTACAGTCGCCTAAGGCGTACTGCAAGTGTCCGAGAATCATGAAAAAATAATTTATTTTGTAGATTTCATTTTCGAGATAATCACATTTTCTTTGCTTATCACACAAGAGCAACATTAATTCTGCTATTTGGTAATTAAATACATAAAAAAAAGTTAACCCTTGATGATCAAGCAATACACCTTGTCAGAAAACGTAACAATTTAGAGGACTATAAAATCTTTCTAACAAGTAGGAAAACAACTACAATTTTTTTTTTTTTTGCAAATGAACCTTGCAACAATTTGAGCAGATGCTAAGCACGAAAAATCTTATGAAACAGCATTGCTCTTACAGAAGACTTTAAATTAGTCAAATTACTGCCTAGCTACTTTGTATTTTCCTCGAAAAGAATAAAGAAGGACAGTTTTGCCACTTTATCCATATTTTTTGCAGACGCTCTTAACATTGACTGAAGCCGAAAAATTCATAAATTTTTGTAAGTAAAATTTTTACTCAAACAAAATATTTTGTAAGCTAACTAAAGTCTTAGCGTCCACTACACACCTCACAAAAAAATTCAGTTGTAAAAATCAGTACCGCAGTAAATCTTTTCAAATTCCATTGAATGACCCGTACCAGCTTCAATTTTCTCGCGCTTTTTAAAAATATATAAATAAAAAATGAATTTTATTTCAACGATCAGAAGTTTTCGGTCCGGAATCGTTTTCCAAAACAGTCATTGCAGAAGCAAAATTCTTGTTTAAACATTTGAGTTCTGTTTCTCATTCAAAGAAAAGTCTGTATCTTCAAAAACTCCTTCTTCTTTCAAAGGCTTCATAGAATTTGACTGTTCCTTGAGTAAAGTTTGTTTCTCAGCACCATCCTTTGACGACTGCAAGGCCCACGGCTGGACTTCCGCTTAAAAAAATTTGGTTACTTTTTTAACTGATTGCTGAAACCAAAGAGATATTTATTACTTTGGCATACTGAAAATCTTCTGTAAAACCTGATCTGCTTACCTGAACCGAAAATAGTAAACTGAATGCAGCAGATAATAGAGACAACTGCTAAAGTTATATATATCAATCTCCACTCCTCCACAGTGCCCTAAAAATTTTTGCTTTATTTACACACCTTAAAAAATATCCAACATATAATTTACACACCTTAAAAAATACTGTAAAAAATGAACCTCTCAAAAATTATTTAATACACTGACACTTTCAATTCAATAAATATTAAGAAAATGACAACAATAATTTCTGTTCAGTAAATCATATGCAGTTACCAAAACAAGCAGACTTTCTTTAGCACCTAAAAAAATTCTAACTTTCATATCATTCAAACAAATCAAATAAAAGATTTCAAGCTCGACATTTTTTCAAAAAACTTTAAAACAAGAAGTTTTAAACAAAACCTTACATAAACTCTGAAAAATCCAACGAGATCAGGAGCTAAAAGACGTCCAATAATTCCAAAAAACATTGACACTGAAGAGATCGTACCCGTAAAACTAGGTGCTAAACTCAGAAGACAAGTGTAAAACCCTGACACTGCTGCTGAAAACCCGATTCCATAAATGCACATAAGCGTCACTGCCAAACCAACTCGTGTACAGTCAACGAAAAAAGCTAAGCAGAGAAATGTGACTGTCATTGTGATATTCGCTGAAATTTACGATTTATACCAAAAATCAAAACTTCATTATCGATTTTAATAGAAGCAAAAATAGTTTACACTGAAACATTAAAAAACTGAAACTTACAGAAACACTGAGAAAATTTAGAAGCAGCTGTAGGAGAAAATATTCGTTTCCGCTTCAAAGTATCCATTCCCATACCCCACAAAAGTTTACTAATGCACAAGAATACGTTTGGTAAAGAGGCGTAGAAACCATTCTGTAATTTAAGAGAATAATAAAAATCATTACATAATTAACGCTGAGTACTAAACAGTTCCGCAGAATAATTGTTTCTATTCAAAAGCAAAAATCAGACTCATAAGTCTTGGCTGTTTAAAAAACTGTAAATCCGAGAAAATGTTTTAGACGACACAAAAAAAATTAATTTTTTGCTAACACTTTGAAGTTCCATAAATAGGACTTCTTTATAGTACAGCGGTGTATAAGACATCATGAGAACAGAAATAAAATTCATAGAAAATTGTGCAATAAAAACTGCCCAAACTGAAGAAGACGTTATTATTAACCTCCATGGAACCTTTATAGCCTGAAAACCATTGTCAAATCATAATCCAGCTTAATGCGAATAAATTTTTTAAAAGTAGTAAACTTTGTAAAACCTCAGCGTCTAACTGTACAAGAGACGTTTTAAACCTGTTGAACCTTGTTATATTTGGTAGTCAATAACAGCTACATTAGTTCATAGATACTGTCGCAGAAGACGCATGAAAGCTGATGCTAGTGACAAAATAAAGCTCAAATAATGGTGGGCAGAGCTTCTTGATAGCTCATTGGTGAAGCGGTACCAAGCAAAAATACATGTCGTAGGATCGAGTCCCACCCAAGGCCTAAGATTTACTTAATACCATAAAAAAAATATTACGATTCTTCGACAGTTGCTAGCAACGTCTTACACCACTCAGTTCGAAGAAAAAATTTCTACTTTTCTTTTCTCTGGCATTTTAACCGCTGAGACCGTCTCCAAATATTTTCTTTCGTTAGCTCCCATAAACTTGCACTTTCCTGGGGTATCAGAAACAGTAAGACACCATAAGATAGACCATACTAGGCCAATAATTCCTAAACAGTTTTTTCAAAATATTTTTGCATATCAGGGATTTAAAATTGTTACTATTTAATGCAACAAATAATTAAATGATGAAAACTTTCGTTTTTGTCTGACTTATTCCAGAAGCACTTCTACGATAGCAAATGTTTACAGTCGTTAGTAGAAAAAATCTTTTAATTACGTTAGCATTTTTAAAACGCATATAAATAGTGTGCAAAACCTGTGAATTTCATATATCCCAATCAACTAAGGAAAAAGCTGTAAAAACATACCACAAGCATAGAAAACAGATGGCCATTGCCACGAAGACGCACAGAGGGCGGCGGCAAACGGAGATCCAAGAACTCCAGCCAGTTGGTTTCCTGCTGTGTAAAACGAAGCAGCGGTACTACGTTCTGCAGGTGGGTACCACGGAGCAACTAATGCATTAATTGTAGGCAAAACGCCACCCTGAAAACGTATTTTTATCAAAAAGTCTCGTTCTTCCTCCTTTTCTTTTTTAATTGAAGGAATTTAGTGCTTACTATATTACTCTATAATTTAATAACCGTCTCAAAAAAATACAGAATTTAATGTAGAATGATTACCTCTCCAATACCCATAATAATGCGAGAAGCAAGAGCAGCCTCAAAACCCACATAATTCACTAGGAACGGAAATATCACTGTTGTGACTAAGTAAATAGCGAATGCGATTTGAAATACCCATTTTGGTGATGTTCGATCAGCGATATAACCAGAAAAAAGTACCGTTAGAAAGCTACCCCAAAAAGTTCCCTTGAACATTTCTTTTTGCTGCACGTTGTTCCATACCAGTGACCCCTAAACTTAAAAAGCAATTACTTCAACCATATAAATTTGGTATTCATTAAAATCTCTACATTATAGGTGAATATATACAAATAAATTTTCTTATTTATTTATCTAAAAGACAGTGTTGGAAGAGTGTATGAAAAACAAGTTTACATTTGGAAGTGCAGTAGAAACTGTTAAACTTAAAGGAGTTCAATGACATTTTTTTAGCCCACGAATTGCGGAATTTAGAATAACATTTTTAGTTTTGAGAATATTTGCAACAATTTAGCAGGATAATTAAAGGTGTCACTCCCAATTACGCATAAGCAAAGTTTTCATCAAAGTAGATCTTCTGGAAGATGCAGGCTTCAATCATACGTTTGTTCTGACAAAAACTAGTTAGGAAAATGTAGAATCAAAGAGTTCAAATAGCTAACTCAACCCAAATCCCATAAAACCACTGCAGAACGACATCACCTAGTACACTAAGAAAAAAAACACCCAATATTGATAATTTAGTAGAAGTGATTAAGGAAAGTTCCGATAAGATTACGGTAAGCGAACGTGACGGTCTAGTAAACTCAATACGCGACC